GGCACCCCTGTCTTGTTGTTCAAAATCATAGAATCATAGAAAGGTACAGGTGGAAGGGACTGCAAGGAACATCTACATGCAATGCAGGAATCTCAGCTAGATCATACATGACAGATGGCCATGCTTAAAAATGTCCAAGGAAGTAAAGTCAGCCACCTCCTGGAATATAAGAAGCTGCATTACGCTGAGTCGAGAACTTGCTCCATTTAGCTCAGTATTATGTAATAGTAGCATTGCTCTAGTACAGCATTTAAATCGGTTAATTTGCTAAAAACTGTTTGCTAAACTATAAAAGGATGCTCTAATTTGTTCTTTGGAATATTTAATGCAAGTACAGTGGTGCCTCGCAAGACGAAATTAATTCGTTCTGCGAGTTTTTTCGTCTTGCGAATTTTTCGTCTTGCGAAGCACGGTGCTATGAGTTGCTCCTCGAAGTCAAGTCGCAACTGCACCTCTTCAAGCAATGCACCCTGGGTATTAACGGTTTTAAGAAAAAGGAAACAAACTTGCAAGACGTTTTCGTCTTGCAAAGCAAGCCCATAGGGAAATTCGTCTTGTGAAGCAACTCAAAAAACGAAAAACTCTTTCGTCTTGCGAGTTTTTCGTCTTGCGAGGCATTCGTCTTGCGAGGTACCACTGTATATATAAAAAGTGGAGATGACAAACACCATCTTAGAAGACATAGTCCCCCTTTTCCTTTTCCTCAGGAGGAAACACCTGTTCTCAGATGATGCCAAATGTATGCAAATTTAACTGATTGATATGCTAAAATGCATATGACCAATTGGCTAAGATTTCTTTAACTGGATAGCAGCCTAGTTTAGACTATTCATGAGAGGCAGGAAAACAGAAGAATGGAAGCTGTTGGTCTTATCATTTTGCCTCTGATTCTCCCAGAAGATCGGTTGCCACCATCCGTCATTGTCAACACAGGACTGGCCCTGGACGAGAACTCGGTGAAGAAGATCACCACTCTCGAGTTGTCCGCTGTGGATCAGGACAGCGAGCCGAGTGATCTCCTGTACAGGATTACTAAGCAGCCCCAGTTGGGGCACCTAGAGCACTCTGCATCACCAGGTTTGCAAATGTTCGCTGTTTTTTTGGAGGAATATCAAGGCAAGCACTTGACAAGACTTAATTGTGGGCTTTTAAGGCAGGGGTGGGCAATATTTCCCCCCGATGAAGGAACATTAACCATTGGGAAAAGCCCATCTGGGCTACTGCGGTTATTAATCTTGTGCGTTTGGAAGCAGTTGAGTGAATTAAAACTGACTCTTTGAAATAAGAAATTCTCTAGTCTGGAAAATATGGTTCAAAAGTTTTACTCACAGAGGTTGACCCAAAACAAACATTTATACCAGATGGATGGGGTATAAGTTATTATTATTATTATTATTATTATTAACAATAAAGTTGGGTTCAGATAGATGCATGATATCTTATACTAATCCCAACATAGGTAAAATATATTAGATTATGAACATATTCCATGCTGAGCTAAAAAACAAAGCTCTCTCTCTTCTTCATTCCGGCCTCCATTAGCCTGAGGCTGTTTTCCTAGAGAAGAGATTAGCACATCCATTCTCTCCAGTAGCTTGAGAACAAAGAGTCACTCCATCCAAGATGGAAGCCAACAGATTAGCATATGCATAGACTTGTAATACATCCCGATGCCTTGTGAATGAGGCACAAGATACGGTCCCATGATACAGCCCCCACAGAATTTGGTGTTAGCCGCCCTGAGCTGGGGAGGGCAGGGTATAAATAAAATTTTATTATTATTATTAATCTGTTAGGCTCTCTTCTCTGCTTTTCTTTAGCTTCAGTGGAAATTTCCATGCCATGCATCACAGTATGCATGCAGACCCATTGCAGAGTTATTTTCCATTTCAGTATACAATTATACTTAACATGGGATGGGCGGAGACAGAATAAAAATTGGACAGCCTTTGGAGAACTGTTCCTTCTCTTTGTGCTATACCAACCCTTCTCCACCGCTTTTGCGTGTGTGCACACATATGTAGAGGAAGCAATTCCTGCGGGAAGGGGTGCTGTTTGGATTTCCCACCTTGGACACTGATATGCCCAGGGTTATGTCCCGAACGACAAATGAATTTTGTGCTTGAGTTATACAAATGTAACTACTCTGCATTCTTCTTTGGGTTGATTGTGGGGTAGGTGACTCATCTACCCAATTGCAATTCATGAGTAGGGCAGCCCTAAACAGTTTTGTTTCTCTAAGGGAAGTTTCTAGTCCATAAGATTGCAGAATCATCAGCTTGCTGCTGTTTTCTTTCCCCTGCCATTTCCTGCTACTCTAGGCAGAAGGATTAGCTCCTTCAGACAGGCAGACCTGGTCTCCCGCAACATCCAGTACATCCATACTAGCGAGGAGGAGAAACATTCTGACACATTTGCCTTCTCCGTTTCCGATGGCACACACGAAGTGAGTAGATTTCCTTTTGTTCTTGGCAAAAGTCAGCTTCAGGTGGGCGTCCATCCATATTTGTTTGCACAAAGTTTGCAGGGAGGTTATCTGAACCCAGCTGTTTATTGAGCATACACTCTGATTTTTTTGTAGGAAGGTTGGTCAACGTTGTGCAAAGCAATCATTTTAGCCACATTTTCCAGGGCATTTTCCCGTAACTCAGTCGAATTTTATGGGGAAAGGGGGAAGTTGGCAAGTTGTGTAAGAGATTGCCAAATCCACTTAAGTATGGAACCTGAAAAGACCCTGAAGACCCTGATGTTGGGAAAGATTGAGGGCACAAGGAAAAGGGGATGACAGAGGACGAGATGGTTGGACAGTGCTCTCGAAGCTACCAGCATGAGTTTGACCAAACTGCGGGAGGCAGTGGAAGACAGGAGTGCCTGGTGTACTCTGGTCCATGGGATTACGAAGAGTTGGACACGACTAAACAACAAAATGGAACCTGAATTTGCCAGTATGCAACTGAATTCCGCCTGCAAAATTTCAAGAGTGCTCCAAATGCTCAGGCAGAGTTTGTCCATGGAAGTCGCACTAGATAGGAATCTGGTTTTTATTTTCGCTTCATCTGTTTTCCCCTGCAGGTGAGCCAGAATTTTGACATCAACATTAACCCGGTAGACGACTCTTTGCCTGTTGTGCAGAGCCCTGGGATGAGGGTGCAAGAAGGAGTGAGGAAGACCATCACAGAGTTTGAGCTTAAAGCCACAGACATGGACACAGAGGTGAAGCCCTTTCTGTGTCTTTCCTCCTTGAAGCACTGCAGAATTCTGCAGAATCCATTTGGAATAAGAACTGTCCTGTGTCAGGGTCTAGTGTGCCCCAGGAAAAGGGAGGGAAGGAGTCGTGACTCGGGAGAGGGGAGCAGTGATTTGTGGGGGGCCCTGTACCAGACGGGAGGCAAGAGTCAGAGGCAGGGGGTGCTCCAGAGCTGGAGGGCTGAGCAAGGAGGGGTTGGAGGAAGAGGAGGAAGAGGCACGTCAAACAAGTGAAGGTCCAAGTGCTTCCCCACCATCTCCTGCTCCACTGTCTCCCAGAACCAGGAGGGGGTTGAAAAGGGAGGAGCAGAGGAAGAGTTTCCACACATGCATAGTCTCCACTTATCTTGACCCCAGCTCTTCAGGTCCCCTTCACACATTCCCTTCTTGCTCGCAGGCCAGATCCATCACATTCACGATCGTGCAGCCGCCACGGCATGGCCTGATCGAACGGACCAGCGACGGGCACCGCTATCGCCAGACCCACACCTTCACAATGGAGGATGTCTTCCAGAACCGGATCAGTTATAGTCACGACGGGAGCAACTCCCTGGAGGACCGCTTCACCTTCACTGCGTCCGACGGATCCAATCCCTTTTTCGTTGTGGAGGAGGATGGGAAAGAGGTTGGTGGGGAAACCGTGCTGGGTTTAAGAGCTCAGTCTGAGTCCATGCTAACATGCGGTAGCATCGTATGTAGCTTGTACAACTTCAGGTTGAGAAGCCCAAATTTCAGCGCTTCCCTGTGGGTGGCAGGTGATGGGTAGAGACCTCCATATCCACAGAAAGCTAACATGTTAAGGGGAAAAAACTTAAGAACTTTTCTCCCTGTCCTGTAAGTTTTCAGCTGGCTGTGAGACTGTGCCTTAGTTTTCCTTGATTTCGTAGGGGACTGTTCAAATGTGTGCTCTCCCTACCGACAGTCTGAAATGATACAGTCCAGCAATTCTGCTGCCAGTGTAACTATGATGGGTTAGTCAGTCTAATTCTGCCCTCAGAACGCAATACAAGTAGCAGAAACGGTGTAATCAATCCCGTGAAATATTTCCTGGATATTTCGAGAGGGAGGGCGGGGGTTACGTTCAAACGGTATCTAAATTTTACAAAATAACAGCACAAATGTTTTCTCAGCTTGTGACTGCTGTGCCCCAGTTGTTCAGAGTGGAAATTCTTCCTGTGGATGATGGAACCCCAAGAATTGTCACAAACTTGGGCCTGCAGTGGCTGGAGTACATGGATGGCAAGGTAGATTTTCACGTTTGCTTTGTTTTCAAGTCACAGGTTTTGGTGCATGGAGAAAATTGGGAAAGGCTACTGGATAGGTGTCAGAGATGCAGAACAGAAAATGGGCAGCTTTTCCAGGTCTTGAGAGCAGCATTGGAAAAATAATTTGAAGACTACTTGGGCTTGAGCCCTGTCCTCCTAACCCAGATATTCTTACCTGCCCCACTTCTGGATTTGCTGTCCCTGTTAAAACTTAATATGAAGTATGTGGGGGTTGCTTAAATTTATTCTATATTTATTTAGATGTTTTCATTAGGCTTTTGTTTAGAAGCATTTGCAGTTTGTTTACATTTCTGCAACTGTTAAGAGTGAAGGGCGTTAATTTTCTGATGCTGTGAGCTGCCTTGAACTTGGTTTAACTGTGGAAAGGTAGCTGGTCAATCAGTGATGTTGAAGACAACTAGGGTCCTCATAGACATCAGGAGAAGGGCGAGATATTCTGTTCCTTTGTTCTACGTGGAAGATGTTCTATGCTGGATAGCTCAGTTGGTAGAGCATGAGGCTGGGTTGTGGGTTCAAGCCCCGCACTGGGTGAAAGACTCCTGCGTTGCTCGGGGTTGGACTAGATGACCCTTGTGGTCTTTTCCAACTCTACAATTCTGTGATTCTATGTGGAAAGGCAGCCGAGCCAGGGCTGGTCTACCCATGTGGAAGAAGCCGCCTTGCGTGGCAGAAACCCAGAATGCAGCGCTCTGCAAGTTCTCACAAGAGCTCCGTTGAGATCTTCTTGAACCTGCTGTTGTCACTTTATGGGTGCTGCTGCAGAACCCACATAAGGGAGGCTCCAGCAGGGGCAGGGAAGCACCTTCCTGTTTCGCCTCAGGCAGTGAAATGGGATACGCCGCTCCAGCCCTCCACTGAGACAGTATTCAAACATGCTTGCAAATCACTTTGAAGATCTAAATGGTGGAAAGCCAGGATATGAATCTGCTAGATAGATTAAAAATGGCAAACACCATAATTCCAGCTGCGAATGACACACCTGTTAGAGACAAGGCTGGCACTATGAGCCCTCCCCACCTTTGAGAGCCAGTGTGGTGTAGTGGTTAAGAGCAATGGACTCGTAATCTGGTGAACCGGGTTCTCTTCCCCACTCCTCCACATGCAGCTGCTGGGTGACCTTGGGCCAGTCACACTTCTCTGAAGTCTCTCAGCCCCACTCACCTCACAGAGTGTTTGTTGTGGGGGAGGAAGGGAAAGGAGAATGTTAGCCGCTTTAAGACTCCTTAGGGTCGTGATAAAGTGGGATTTCAAATTCAAACTCTTCTTCTTCTTTGTTGTGGGGTTGGGGTTGCTGCCTGGCCCAGTGGAGTCTGTAGCCCCAAAGTTCCTGGGCAAATCCCATTCTGAACGAGCCCCAAACTCACTCTACGGTCAACTGAAAATGAGAATGTGTGCACTTCTTTTTTCAAGCGGGGGCACTTTGCATTTTGACGCACCCCCTCTCCAAACGGAAGATACCTTTTCCCGACTCACCGGAGAAGAGCTCCATCTTTCCTCTTTTATTTCAGGCCTGGCATGGAGCTTTTCCACACCAAATGTTACGTGGGTTGAAACGCATGCTGGAGAAGCATCTTGCCTCCTTGCTTACTCTCCAGCATCACTGATGATTAAATGCCCACAGGTTGTCCTTACAGCTGTGCCTCATTGCCCAGATCTTCTGGGGCATGAAATCTATAAACCTTGCCATGTGGTATTGACTGAAAAAACGGGGGTGTTGGTTCTGGAGTTAAGAGTGCTTTAAGCGAAGGGGGAGTTGTGTTTCTTCCTTAATGCTGCCAGCCGCGATGATGGATGGAGCAGGGCTCCACTGCTTGTTGCATCAGCAGCTGTGGCTAAACAAAGCCATCCATCTTAAGCTGCAGGACTAAGGTCCCTGACAGCACAGTTCCTTCCCACCCACTCCGTAGACCTGCACACTCCGATGTCTTACTCTGTTGCTATTGGCATTTGCGTTCCTGAAGCGCTTGTTGATTAATTGCTGTGATTAATCAAGCAATTCTTCCATCACCAATTAAAAGGTGTGGAAATGAAGGCAAAAATAAATAAATTCGAAGCTCTGCTATGTGGATAGGTGTTGGTGCTAGCATCTGTTTCCCACCCTACTTGGTGTAAGTTCAAACCTTCAAGAGCCAGTTACAGGTTGGTAGCCGTGTTGCTCTGCTGTAGTAGAAACAAAACAAAACAAAACAAATTTAAAAAATTCCTTCCAGTAGCACCTTAGAGACCAACTAGGTTAGTTATTGGTATTTTGGATTTTGTTGTAAGCGGTGGTGTTTTCTGGTCACCTCCGTTTGGATTCTGTGGCGAAAGCAATCGATGTACTGTGGTACCTCGGGTTAAGAACTTAATTCGTTCTGGAGGTATGTTCTTAACCTGAAGTCAAACCACAGTGCCAACCTCACAGTTCAAAAGCACACCAGTGCAAGTAGGTAAATAGGTGCCACTGCAGCGGGAAGGTAAATGGCGTTTCCATGCGCTCTGGCACTCGTCACAGTGTTCCTTTGTGCCAGAAGCAGTTTAGTCATGCTGGCCACATGACCCGGAAAACTGTCTGTGGACAAAGGCCAGCTCCCTTGGCCTGAAGCGAGATGAGCGCTGCAACACCATTGTTGGCTTTGACTGGACTTAACCGCCCAGGAGTCCTTTACCTTTACTGTGGCTGCAGAGCACCAAAGTGACCTTCCTGGGGTGCAAGCCTGGGCAGTGTGTATGAACGACAAGACTACCCCACCCCAGCATCCCTGTTGAGGTCCAAAGTGTGTGTAGTTTGGGAGCTGCACGGCCAGGGAAAAAACAATGCTGTCCAGGGTTGTAAAGACTATGGAGAGAATAATTGGGTGCACTCTTCCCACCTTGGATCAAATCTACGCTTCCAGGTGCCATAAGAAAGCTGCAGAGATAGCGCAGGATAGTGCGCACCCGGGAAATGATCTCTTTCAGCTTCTGCCTTCTGGAAGAAGGTACAGGGTTATAAAGACTAGGACTAGCCACCTGAGAAACAGTTTCTATCCCAATGCAATTTTGGTTTTAAACCAAGTTTAAGGTAGTCTCTATGGGAGTATATTGTATTTAATTATGGGGTATCAGAGTTTTTAGGGGCTAACCAGGCTGGGATAGCTGGGATAGCAGGCTTGTTGGTTTTTGAATGTCTGATGTAGATTTCTTCAATTTCGTTGTTCTGTATGAGACAATGACAATAAAGATTATCGTATCGTAAAGGAAAGCAGAGTTTGGCACCAGCTTGGCTGCAGGAGTTGCTGGAAGGAGGCGTACAAAGCGCCATCCAACCATTTTAGGGCATAGCTATCAACCGTCCCTTATTTGTCGGGAAAGTCCCTTATCCCAGCGCCGTGTCCCACTGCTGTCCCTTATTGATGATGTTCCTTAAATTTCCTGGGTTTCAAAGGAAGCAGCTCCTCTCCCTCCCTCCCTGCCGGCCAGGGAGGAGGAAGGCTCCAACTGTGTTGCTTGGTTGCCCGGCCCGCCCACCTCCAGCCTCCTCTCACCAGCCTTGGCCCCCGGGAGTCCCTCCCGCCGGGACTGGCGGGAGCCTCGGGCCCTTCCGCTGCCATCCTCCTCGCAGCTGCTGAACTGAGCGTCTCTGCCTGTGGTAGCATCTTCGTAGCTTGGACTTCATTTTGCGCGAAAAGTGGTTGCTGCTTGTAGTTATTTAATTGCAGTATTTCATGAGGTTGAGCAGCAACCTCTGGAAAACGAAGGGCTAAAAACCCGCGCTGCTCTCCAAAATTATCTGGTCCCTTTTAACTTCGTATTTCAGGTGGTTGACTAAAATCCCTTATTCTGGCTGCTGATCCCTTATTTTCGAGGCTGCTGGTCCCTTATTTTCAAATCTGTAAGTTGACAGCTATGTTTTAGGGACTCCACTCCAGATTTGCGTAGGATTTATTCCCTAGCCTTTTATTCTCCCAAATATACCCCACAAGGCGGTGGGCACCGATTTTTCCTTGGAGGTTTACTCCCGAAGCCTTTCTCACAAGTGAGTATGGCCGCAAAGCATCAGAGGTTAAGGATCAGTTTTCCTTCTCCAATAAAACTGATACCAGCCTTGGGCCCTGCTTTCTGCTTCCTCCCATCACATGTTTTGCTGTGGATAAAGGGAAATGTCATCTTCAGTGTCTTCAGGTAGGGATGTGAAAGATTCCCTGCCTGAAACCCTAGAAAGCTGCTGCCAGTCTGTGTAGACAACACTGAACTAGATGGACTCAGTGGTCCCAGCCTAAGGCAGCTTTCTGTGTTCCTAGATACAGGCATCATAGCAGCCAAGTGGGTTTGAACTGATTAATCGTCTTGGCTGAGCAACAGGGTGAGAATAACTGGATAAATAGATAAACAATCAAACTGCTTAACTGACCACATAGTGGAGCCTTGATTTTCCATAACTCCTTTCTAGTTTCCTTGCCCTCCTTTTCCCTCCCTCTTCTTCCAAAGCAGCTCATCTCTTCCTCTGGTGCCTTCTGAGAAGGGTAGATTTCGGAGCCAGTTCTTAAGGGATGGACATTCAGATTTACGAATGTAGCCCAAGGGAATAACCTTTATCTATTGGAATAAACTCTTAGTTCCAGCTTTCAGGCTCAGACCCAGGAACCGGTGATACCATCTGGTTAAGTGTATAAACACTGGCTTCGTGTCTTCAATCCAGCCGAAAAATCTGATCACCAAGAAAGAGCTGTTGACTATGGATCCTGATACAGACGACAAACAGCTGATCTATGAGATAACAGCTGGGCCAGAGCACGGTTATGTGGAGAAGAAGTTGCAGCCGGGAGTGTCAGTGACTACGTTTACTCAAGGTAGGAAAGCAATGCTAGGAAAATCGTTTGCCCTTTTTTGTGCTTCATCATAGTTTTAGCTGCACTGTATTACTTTTCAGGGGACACAGGTGGCACTGTGGGTTAAACCACAGAGCCTAGGACTTGCCGATCAGAAGGTCAGCGGTTTGAATCCCCGCAATGGGGTGAGCTCCCGTTGCTCGGTCCCTGCTCCTGCCAGCTAGCAGTCTGACAGCACATCAAAGTGCAAGTAGATAAATAGGTACCGCTCCGGCGGGAAGGTAAACGGCGTTTCCATGCGCTGCTCTGGTTCGCCAGAAGCAGCTTAGTCATGCTGGCCACATGACCCAGAAGCTGTACGCCGGCTCCCTCGGCCAGTAAAGCGAGATGAGCGCCACAACCCCAGAGTAGGCCTTGACTGGACCTAATGGTCAGGGGTCCCTTTACCTTTACCTTTATTATTTTTCGGTATGTTGGAGGCCAGGGAAGAACCAATCGGTCTAAATTTGGTTTGCGCCAAATCAACATGTGTTTGGTTTTAAGTCCCGTCCACATTCCACAAATCGGAACCATAAAGTGGGGCTTCTAAATTTCACAAGGAGGGACTGAAGGTCCTGCTGCCATCATTGCATGCATTTTTTAAAAAAGCGAATGCAAATTGCATAAATGAATGAATGAGGAGGCTGAGAAATCTCAGAGCCATCTCCAAGCCACATCCATCAGGGCTGTTTTGTAGTTCTTTGTGTCGTTCTAGCTTTATTCAAACATTTTATATCAATTTGCAAGCCACATCCAGAAACCAGGATATCCTTATGACTTATATCACTTCTTCAGCCTGCTACCCTCCAGATGTTGTTCAACTCCAGCTCCCATCATGTCTTGATGGGCCTTCTCTGCAGTGGCTCCCTTTCTGTGGGATGCTCTCTCTAGGGAAGTTCGCCTGGCACCTTCATTATACACCATTAGGCAAAAACATTCCTTTTTAACCAGGCCTTTGGTTGATCTGATTTACGTCCCATGTCCTTTTAAAATATGCTGGGGGGGGGGGGGCTATTGGGTTGTTGTTTTTATTTTTATTATGTATTTTGTGGTTTTATGTCTTGATTTTATTCTGTGAACCACCCTGAAACCACAGGGTATAAGGCAGTATATAAATTAAGTAAATAAATAAATTGGTCATGGTGGCAGGGACTGATAGAATCATAGAGTTGGAAGGAACCGCAAGGGATAGCTAGTCGAACCCCCTGCAGTGCAGGAATCTTTTGCCCAACATGGGGCTCAAACCCACGACCCTAAGATCAATAATCTTTTGTTGTTGTTTAGTCATTTAGTTATGTCCAACTCTCCGTGACCCCATGGACCAGAGCACGCCAGGCACTCCTGTCTCCCACTGCCTCCCGCAGTTTGGTCAAACTCATGCTGGTAGCTTCGAGAACACTGTCCAACCATCTTGTCCTCTGTCGTCCCCTTCTCCTTGTGCCCTCCACCTTTCCCAACATCAGGGTCTTTTCCAGGGAGTCTTCTTTTCTCATGAGGTGGCCAAAGTATTGGAGCCTCAGCTTCAGGATCTGTCCTTCCAGTGAGCACTCAGGGCTGATTTCCTTAAGAATGGATAGGTTTGATCTTCTTGCAGTCCATGGGACTCTCAAGAGTCTCCTCCAGCACCATAATTCAAAAGCATGCTCTACTAAAGCAGGAATGGGAGTCTCAACAACATCTGGAGGGTTATCGAAAATATATAACTTTTTACTGGAATGGAACACAAAAGATGAACTGACAAAAGAAGTAATTATAAAATGGGCAATAGATTTTGGGTATAACATCGAATATGACGCTTGGGTGAAACTGTGGAACGAAGGTTTAAAATTTACGGCATGTACTACTTTAAAAGAAAACATAATGATATGTTAAATACCGCTGGTATTTAACACCTGTCAAGCTAGCAAAAATGTACAGAATGATCAGTAAAGCATGTTGGAAATGTAGAATGAAGGATGGAGAATTTTTTCACATGTGGTGGACATGTGAGAAAATGAAAACAATTTGGGATATGATTTACAACAAATTGAAAAAATTGTTTAAATATAATTTTCCCAAAAAAACCAGAAGCATTTTTGCTGGGGTTGATAAGAGATGAAATAAGAAAAGCAGATCAGAGATTATTTATGTATGCTACGACTGCTGCCAGAATCTTAGTAGCCCCAAAATGGAAAACTCAGGAAATACCAACATTAATGGAGTGGCAGACAAAAATGGTTGAATATGTGGAATTAGCAAAACTGACCCACAGAATCCGTAACCAAGAGGAAACAAAGTTCAGAAGTGAATGGAGTAAATTTGTGGAGTATATACCTAATAATTGTAGAAGTTTAAAGACTGTAGTAGGATTAAAATAAATCTTATGACATGAATAGGATGATGTTCAGAATCTGTGAAAAAAGGAAAGATTAATATGAAAACCTCTGAAGGGAGGGAGGGAAGTCCATGCTCGATAGAGCGTTGAGAAAATAAGTGCACATAAGATTGTAGAACATTAGTGTATTTATTTTGTTTTGTTTCTGTTAAAGAAAACTTAACAAAAAGCATTTTAAAAAAAAACATCTGGAGGGAAACCAAGTTGGGGGAAGCTGGTATCTACGTATGCAAAAATTGTTAAGTTCGAAGATTAGTTCATTGAGGCGTCTCTTCCCAACAGAGGAAGTGAACTTGGGATTGATCGAGTACGTGCTACACGAGGAGCAGACTCAAGAGACAGAAGACAGTTTTCAGTTTCTTGTAAAGGACAGCAAACCCAGTGTGGTCACTGACAATACCTTCCATATCCAGTGGTCTCTTATCAGCTTTCAGCACACCAGGTAAGCTACTCAGCTGAGCAGCACAGAAAATTAAGGTATGCTACACTTCAAAATGCTAAAGATTCTAGTAGCTGCCTGTCAACTTTAATCTGCTTCAGCCATTGGCTGAGTCCTTGCTGCTGTGATGTCATGGAATGTTCACAAACAGTCAGAGGCTAGAAGCTTGCTTGCCTTTGAGGATTGTCGTTTTAATTGTTTGTAAGCCACTTGGGCTGTTGTTTTAATAGAAAAGCAATCTATAAATATTTTAAATAGAATATAGAGTATTTTTCGCTCTATAGGATGCACCTGACCTAGTTTTAGAGGGGGAGAACAAGAAAAAAAATTCTCTCCCTCTCTGCGCAGCGCCCCTTCAGCTAAGCGGCAGGAGAAGCAGAACCCCTTCCATTTCTCCTCCCGCTTTGCTGAAGGGGCGCTGCACAGAGAGGGAAAGCTGCACAGCACCTCTCCAGCAAAGCGAAGCCAGGAGAGCAAGAAGGATCGGTGTGCACCAACCCCTCGCTCTCCTGGCTTCAGGGATAGCCGCCCGAAGCCTCCGGAGTGCAGCAGGAGTGCTCCCGCTGCGCTCCGGAGGCTTCGCATTGCTTTCGCTGAAGCCATGGAGCCTGCATTCGCTCCATAAGACACACACACATTTCCCTTTAATTTTTGGAGGGGAAAAGGTGCGCCTTATAGAGCAAAAAATATGGTAGATAAACAGGAGGGGGGGTGAGGTCACTTTAAACATGAGGGGAAACTTCCAGAGGTCAGCTTTGTGCTGTTATCAGAAATCAGGGACCAGGCCAAAGGTGCCAGAGAGAACTGGGAACTGGAAGCCGAACAGCAAGAAGACCCAGGAGATAGGGAGTGTGTGGAATAAATAGCCCATGTGCAGTGGGTTAAGGAGCAGGAAGGGGTGGTTGGAGGAGTCTTCGCAACCCAAGGAGACTGTAGAGTTGAAGAACCAAGCGGGTAGCTTGGGGAGGGGAACACATGTATGAGGTACAGGGACAGAAAAATAGATGTGTCATTGACAAGAAGAAGGGAAAGCGGCGGGGTACCAGGTGGGCAGGCAGGATGGCTGCCTGGCTGAGCTCGAACCACCAACCTTCTGGTTAACAGCCAGATGCACTGACCCATTGTGCCACCTGCCCCAGACGAAGACTGGTGGGTCTGCATGTGTGCTGTGGATGGGGGAGAAATGAGGTTGACTTTCCATTTCCTGTCTTGAACGAACCAGCTGGATCTGTCTTACTTCAGCCTCTGTATTTGCTCGTTTATTTTATTGACTTACATATTTTGTTATCCTGCCTAATCTCCCAAGGGGAACTCAAGGCAGCGCACAGATCAGCTTACAACAGATAATATTTACATCTGATTAGCTGATAACGAGCAACACACTACAGGATGCATTGTTCAACCAGATTGGTACTAACTAGATTTCTGACAAGAAGAATTTTGTCGTGGCGCTTTTATTTACTTATTTTTTCCCCGGCGTCAGATCACGCCAATTCAATTATGGCGAATCACCCTAATTAAGGCAGATTGCACATTCTTCGCTGAATGAGAGGAAGCAAATGCACTGAAATTAATTAAACCGATACAAACTGAATGTAGCGATCGACTTCAGCATGTGTAAAGCCCCCTGAAATCAGTGGGACATGAATTCACAATTTAGCAGTATTCAGCCCCACTGGTTTCTGTGCACTTCACAGCCTCTGGGCTGCATCTCCTTGGTTACATGGGGGGAAAAAACGCATTCTCTCTCTCTCTCTTTCCAGCTACAATGTCAGTGAAAAGGCAGGCTCCATCAGTGTCACAGTGAAGAGGACGGGTAACCTCAAACAATATGCTATTGTTCTGTGCCGTACAGAGCAGGGAACTGCCACCTCCAGCTCAACTTCACGGCCAGGAGAACAGGACTACATGGAATATGCAGGCCAGGTGGGTTCAGGAAAAATGCTGCACACCTTGGGAAAAAATCCACAGTGGAATGCTCTACACCATGGGTAGGCAAACTAAGGCCCGGGGGCCGGATCTGGCCCAATCGCCTTCTAAATCCAGCCTGCAGATGGTCCGGGAATGAGCATGTTTTTACATGAGTAGAATGTGTGCTCTTTTTAAAAATGCATCTCTGGGTTATTTGTGGGGCATAGGAATTCGTTCATTCCCCCCTAAAAAATATAGTCCAGCCCTCCACAAGGTCTGACGGACAGTGGACCGGCCCCCTGCTGAAAAAGTTTGCTGATCCCTGCTCTACAATGTCTTACCCAAAGGGTGAAGTGTTAGGTGGGCATGGCAACAAGCCCAGAGAAGCTTCCTGGGCTGAACCTCTTCCTTTCACCCAGCTGTGAAAAACGTGGCAGAGAGTATTGAGTCAGGAGCAGTCACCTAAACTGGGCATGTCCAGTTTGGGGTTGGCAGCTCTTGTCCGATGTCAAGACCAGGCCAGCTGTACCCAAATCCAGACCTAGAAGGGTGTCTTCAGTTTGGCATACTTGCAGTCAGATGTCAGGTTTGGGGACGCGAGTCAGAGATAGCTGAAGGCAAGGGCTGGTGTCCATCAGCAAAAGGATGGTCTTCTGTCAAATAAGGGAAGAAGTCCAGGCTGCCAGACCTGGAAAACCCCAGGTGCTTCCTACTGTCTGCCAGTCACAGAGACTGATGTTCCTCAGTTCTGCTTCCCACTGCGCCTGAGCATCTCAGGTATCTCAGTAAGCAAAGTTTCCTTCTCGTCCCATGTGAGTCCCAGTTTATGCCCCAAAGTCCCTAACATCCCACTGTTTAACTGTATCTCTGTCAGGCTTTGGGGAATCGACTTCCTCCCCCATGGCAGTAAATAAGAAGAGATCAAACGAAAGGAACGTATTACCAGTTAGATTCTTTAATAATCACAGTGAGAGACAAAAGAACCAATCTACCTAGAATGGTGGTGCTCCCAATTAAGGCTCGCACCCCATCAGTCCCTATTAATCTACGTCACTCCTACATATTGTGTAATCTGAGTTTGTACCATCTGCACTTTCTGTTCTGAGACTTTCTGAGCTCTTCTCGACCTTGGGAGGAATGCTGTCCAACGACTGTAAATTTGTTAACCCTCTCTCTCCCAGTGCTGCTTCTCCTGTCTGTTCCCCATCCAGTATTTCCCAGCTTCTGCCTTCTGAACTATGCCCTTCTGCAAACCCCTGTTCCAAATCTATACTGTCCTCCTGCTCCTGGGAAGATTCAGGATTGGGGTGGGTGGTGGTGGCTCCCACCATTCTTCCTCAGTGCAGCCCTCCTCAGCACAGTCCCTGACAACCTCTGGGATGGGGAGATGTGTCTTAGTGTGGAGGGGAACTGGATCACAGAATAGGATTAAGAAAGGCAAGAGTAGAAAAACATACAGGGCAGCTTAAGGGGTGTAGCGACACTGAGTCAATAATGCTGTTGTTGTTTAGTCGTCTAGTTGTGTCCGACTCTTCGTGACCCCATGGACCAGAGCACGCCAGGCACTCCTGTCTTCCATTGCCTCCCGCAGTTTGGTCAAACTCATGCTGGTAGCTTTGAGAACACTATCCAACCATCTCGTCCTCTGTCGTCCCCTTCTCCTTGTGCCCTCCATCTTTCCCAACATCAGGGTCTTTTCCAGGGAGTCTTCTCTTCTCATGAGGTGGCCAAAGTCTTGGAGCCTCAGCTTCAGGATCTGTCCTTCCAGTGAGCACTCAGGGCTGATTTCCTTCAGAATGGAGAGGTTTGATCTTCTTGCAGTCCATGGGACTCTCCAGCACCATAATTCAAAAGCATCAATTCTTCGGCAATCAGCCTTCTTTTTGGTCCAGCTCTCATTTCCATACGTCACTACTGGGAAAACCATAGCTTTAACTATACGGACCTTTGTCGGCAAGGTGATGTCTCTGCTTTTTAAGATGCTGTCTAGGTTTGTCATTGCTTTTCTCCCGAGAAGCAGGCGTCTTTTAATTTCATGACTGCTGGCACCATCTGCAGAGATCATGGAGCCCAAAAAAATATAATCTCTCAATGCCTCCATTTCTTCTCCTTCTGTTTGCCAGGAGGTGATGGGACCACTGGCCTTGATCTCAGTTTTTTTGATGTTGAGCTTCAGACCATATTTTGTGCTCTCCTCTTTCACCCTCATTAAAAGGTTCTTTAATTCCTCCTCACTTTCGAGTCAATAATGACCGTTCCCAAATAATGTCTCACTGCCGTGGAACTCATAAAATAGCAGCAGCAGCAGGCCTGTTTCCCAGTTTTAAACCTCTCTGCACTTAGTCAATGCGCAACCTTGCTCCACACAGGTTCAGTTTGATGAACGGGAGGACACAAAATCCTGCACTATCCTGATAAACGATGACAATGTCTTTGAGAACACGGAGAGCTTCACTGTGGAGCTCAGCATGCCAGCCTATGCCTTGCTGGGGGACATCACTGAGGCCAAAGTTTTCATCAACGATGCGGAAGATGAGCCTACCTTGCAGTTTGACAAGAAAGTCTACCACATCAGCGAGAGTGCTGGCATCCTCTCTGCCCCCATTGAAAGGAAAGGTGTGTTGCATTACAGCTTAGAGCAGGGGATGGGAAGCAGGTGCAAATGGACTTCGAGTAAATAATACAGTCCTAAGGGACGCGGGTGGTGCTGTGGTCTAAACCACTGAGCCTCTTGGGCTTGCTGATCAGAAGGTTGACTGTTCAAATCCCTGCGATGGGGTGAGCTCCCGTTGTTCGGTCCCAGCTCCTGCCAACCTAGCAGTTCAAAAGCATACCAGTGCAAGTAGATAAATAGGTACCGCTCCGGTGGGAAGATAAACGGCTTTTCCGTGCGCTGCTCTGGTTTTGGTGTTCTGTCAAGCCAGAAGCGGTTAAGTCATGCTGGCCACATGACCCGGAAAACTGTCTGCAGACAAACGCCGGCTCCCTTGGTCTGTAAAGCGAGATGAGCGCCGCAACCCCAGAGTCATCTGCAACTGGACTTAATTTTCAGGGGTCCTTTACCTTTACTTTTTAAGGTTGCACACTTTGAAACACAGCAGCAGCAGCATTCCAAGCCCCTTCATTAACAGTTCCGTATATTTGGCCAAAATATATATGTCAGAAATAAATGTAATGTTACACTGTGACTGGACAATTCACTAAGGTTTCATACTGAAGCCTAGCAATAGAAATCCTAAAAAGGAATCTAAGGTAAAGGTAAAGGGACCCCTGACCATTAGGTCCATTCGTGGCTGACTTTGGGGTTGCGGCGCTTATCTCGCTTTATTGGCCAAGGGAGCCGGCGTACAGCTTCCGGGTCATGTGGCCAGCATGGCTAAGCTGCTTCTGGCGAACCAGAGCAGAGCACGGAAACGCCGTTTACCTTCCCTCCAGAGCGGTACCTATTTATCTACTTGCACTTTGACGTGCTTTTGAACTGCTAGGTTGGCAGGAGCAGGGACCGAGCAACGGGAGCTCACCCCATCACGGGGATTTGCATTAAAGTCATATAGCAACCCAAACAAACAACCAGCAGACAACAGTATGAAGCAAAATGTAGGATCTTGTTTCAGTTCATTAGCAAATTTTTAAGCAAAACTAAGTCTGCACTCAAGGGTCTAAACTCTGTATAAAGTAATATGAAAGTAGAAGTTTTGTATTTATTTATTACATTTATATCCCATCTTTATCTTCCATTGAGACTAAGGTGGTATACACCTCCCCATTACATCCTCACAACAACCCGGTGAGGTAAGTTATTTTCAGAGATGGTGACTGGCCCAAGGCCACACAGTGAGCTTCATGACAGAATGGGGATTCCATCCCTGGTCTCCAGGGTCCAACCCTCTAAGAATTACGCCACACAGGGGACACTTAATCTTAGGGTTGTGGGTTCGAGTCCCATGTTGGGCGAAAGAGTTGTGCATTTCAGGGGGTTGGACTAGATGACCCACGTGGTCCCTTCCACCTGTACAACTCTGCGATTCTCTGAACCAGTTGTCCTGAAAAGCAACTTTTGTATAACTCTGTGCTGTGCATTACAGGCGACTCCAGCAGCACTGTGTCTGCAGTTTGCTACACAGTCCCCAAAAGTGCCAAAGGTAGCAGTGCACATGCCTTAGAGTCTGGATCAGACTTCAAGTCCAGGGGGATGTCCAATGAAAACCGCGTGGTGCTGGGGCCT